CTGCAATGGAAGTTTATATATATATGTAAAATTATCATACTGTCACTGCCCTCTAAAAATCTCTTTAAGGAATTTCCCAGAAGACAGAGATGTTTATAAATGCAACTTGGATCCATGCATCTTTTTAAGCAGCTACAAATTCTGGCAGAGTGGGTATCGGTGGAGGGAGGGGGAGAACAGTGACTTTGGTCAGTCTGTGCTATAAAGAAATCTAAATATTGGTGGGGGATTTTCAGCATTTAACTGTTCTGGCATCTCATCACCCATCCTCTCTCCACAATTAAAATGACGTTTGTTGTAAAGAGACAGCATGCATAACGCCCCGCTGCCTCAAAGGAGAAGTCAGCGGCACTGAAGACGCCTTAGAGAATACCTGGCACTCCAGTCCATTTGTCCCAGCCTGGCCTGTGAGGAGAGGAGGGATAGCCTGAAGGCTAGGAGGACCATGACCTGAGATACAAGAGAGAAATTCAGATCCTGGCTTTGGCACAGACCTCCTGCGTGACATTGTGCAAGTTGCAGGAAGTCATTATTCACCTCCTATCTCCAGCTCTCAAGTGTAGAAAGCAAGATTGCCCTTCTTCCATCCTTTGGGCCAGATCTGAAAAGGACTTCACTGACGCTTCTAGCTTCAAACAACTGGAAATCTGTCTCATCGCCTTGTTGGCTCCCCTCCTTGTGGGCTCTGTGCGCACCAGATCACCGAGACCCGATGGAAGCATCTCTGCTGTGATGTGCTCTTGCCAGCTCTGCCCTACCCTGATGCACTCTTGCCAGCTCACCTGATGAACTGCTAAGAAACCCAGGTTTCTAGTGCCCCACAACACAAGGGCAACCCCATCCGACAGCCAGGCAAAAGGCTGGGGACCCGTGGGTTTCGAGGCTTCCAGCTCCTGGAAGTCTTGGGAGCTCTGGCCATAGGCGGGGTTGTGTGGCTCCCTGAGCTTGAGCTGGGGCTGCCAGGGTTTCCTCCTTGTTCCATAGCAAGCTTGTTCCAAGGATCAATTAGATCTGGATTTCCCTCTTGTCTTCAGCCAGGAGTTCAGCAGTCCAGCTGTGTCCTTTCCACCTCATGTTATCATTAGCCGTCACGTTGGTTCATTATCTTGATGAGGCTTGAGGCAGCGCTGGCTCTTTGACAGCAAGACCAGCGCTGTTGATCTGATCGTTTTATGCCTGGGAAAACTCTACAGTGCCACCTTGCAACCTCATCCTGCCTCCTCTGTCCCCTGCATGCGGTGCTGAGGGCCGTCGGCAGGAGTCCTGCATGCGGCGGCGACCCTGAGAGCAGCAGGGATTTCAGTTTTCGGAGTCACTTCCCTAAACACGATACAACTGTGTTTCGAGCATGCTTCTGTTGTTTGCTCTGATGGCTTCCCCTTGGCAGTCTCCTGGTGACCTTTGAATGCAGCAGCTGTCTCTGAATCCTCTGTTTGTTTCTTCATTTTGAGGTAAAAACATTTTGTTCTTTGACTATTTTTTTAATTCACACCCCCCCTCCTAAGGATAAGCTCTTCATTTTGATACAACCAATCACTCCATCAGTGTTTCAAATGCATCCTTCAAGTGATTTCAGCTTTCTCTCTTTTTTCCCACCAGAATGGACTCAACTTTAGCTTTGCCCGTATAACAGCATGCCAGGCATGGGGTGCCCCTGGCTGGAGCCCCTGCTGCATTGGCACATCCCGCCCCAAGAAGATGCCCTTTTGAGAGAGGAGAAAAGCAGATAGTTTAAACCTTGGAGCTGCCTAGAGAGTCCAGTTAAGAATAGCTGCTAACAAATCCAGCAAGAATGGGTCTCCCAGTGACTGCTGGCAGGGCTCAGAGCAGGGAGAAGCCAGCTGGGGCCGGCTGACAAGATAAAACAGTTCCAGGCAGCTGTTGTGGGTGACGGTAGGACAGGGAAGGAAGATCTTCACCCTGAAACTCAAGAGGCTAAATGGTTCCAGAGAACCACGAACTTTTGCAAGCGACTGCTGACTTGGCCAGGTGCTGCGCCTCTGAAGCGCTTAGTCTCTAAGGTGCCACCCTGCCCTGCCGTTGCCAGTGTCCGAATGGGATGAGCAGCATTAGAAATGTTTATTGATAGCTAATGCTCTCCCCGCTTGCAATAGGAAGGGAGACTGAGGCATAGAGAAGTAATGTCAACCTCCCAGGAGCTCTTAGTGACTTTGAGGCAGAGTTGGTACGAGAGCCAAGTCTTGTGCCTTAATCTGCTGGACCACATCACCATCCATGCTCCTGATTTCACCTTCTTCTGCGTGACAGTGAGCTTTCTTTGGAAAGATTCTCAGAGTTACACGCAGTGAGACTTCCAGTACCTTGTTGTCCCGTCTTCAATTAACATGTCAGAGGACCCTATAAATGAGAGAACACCTACACAGTCTTATTAGTCTTGCAGACAGTGCAGGATTGTTCTTGGTGGTCTCTTTCTTTGATGTTCTGCTCCTTCTGGTTTGAAACAAGGATGGCATTAGAGCAGGGGCAGGCAATTATTTCAGGCGGAGGGCCGCTTACTGAGTTTTGGCAAGCCATCGAAGGCTGCATGACAGGCAGCCCAGGGCAGATAAATGTTAATTTTCTAAATTTTTTAGGGGCCACACAGGCTGGACAAAATGGCCTGGTGGGCCGCATCTGGCCCGCGGGCCACATTTTGCCCACCCCTGCATTAGAGTCTTCACCCCTTCCCTGAGGCTACATCAGAGTCTCTTAGGAGTCCTGTTTATTGGCTATGTAAAGCAATACCAAATAGTGTAATGCAAGTTAGTAAGGGATGCTGGCCAGAATCTTCTACTGCTAGAAAAAAATCTTAGACAAAATCTTATGAGAGCATTTATTCAGCTCTTTAAATAGACTTGGGCTTGATTAAAGTGATAGGTCAGTATATTTATATTTCTAGGATACGAATGGTTGATGAAATGTGTCCAGATCAGGAAGAAGAGATAATGCATCCATGTGACAGTCCCATGCTAAGTTTGAGGAGGAGCGGCTTGGCAGATGTGTGAAATATGTTGAACCTTATAGGCATGTGCCTTATTCAGTAATACAACCTGTAATGTGAACCCGTGAACCTGCCGCCACAGCCCAGACTCCAGACAGGAAATGGTTTTCTGTATTACAGCATAGATATGGAAAGTTAAAATGTTGTTTTTTTGTTCTCTGGGGTTATTTAGATTTACGTAGCCTGTACCCACTTGTTTCCTCCTTGCTGCTATTGCCTTTCACTGTGAATAGCAGCTTCATTAGCAGACTGACTAATCATTGTCCCGAACTTGTACCATTTCTCGTGTGGTCACTTGACTGCAGTGCAGAGGTGTTGAGGGGAGCGGAGAAAGGGTCGGCGGACCCACCACGTTATTCGGTTTTGACCAGTTTTACTGATTATTTACAGAAGAAATAAGTCCCCACTGGAAAACGTTGGGATTTTTTAGACAACATTTTCTTTGTTTTTCCAGTTGTAGAAATCTGAACAAGAAATTTCATTTTGAATTAGTATTTCAAAACAAAGGTTTGCTTCTTTCTTTCCTTCTCTCTTTCCTCCTTTCTTTCTCTTTTTCTCTCTCTCTCTTTCTTTCATGGTTGTGCTATAAAACATCCCAGTTGCAAGAAGGGAGGAGCTGGAAGGCAGGGAACAGGGTTGAGATCTCCCAAAAATTCCAAATCTGGAATCAGAAAGCAAAGGACGCTTTTTCCACCCCCCACATTTGAAATTAAACCAAATGAACAGATTCCACTCATTTCTCAGTGAGATTTGCATGGAAAACTGGGCTTTCTCAGTAGAAGAAAAATTGAGCAGTATCATTTTTATTTTTGTTCCCCAGGCAAAATGATCAGCAAAAGAAAAAAAAATCTGACCATCGCCGTTGATTAGCAAGAGAAGACAGTAGAATTGGTGGCATACTCATGCTGCTAGATGATAAAGTTTTAAATCTCTTTTCATGTTATTGATATATGGGGCCAAATTTGCATCCTGTGATGATACGAATATGAACATAGGATGCAAATCTGGCCCCAGATTTTAATAACAGCAGTTTTATGCAGGAATTCCTGATGGTCTGGTGGGACGCTGACCTTCACCTCCGAGCGGGACAAAAGGCTCCATTCATACTGTAGCACAGTTGCTCCTCTTGGCACAGGAGCATCCACGGCCAGATCCGGTTGTACTGGCTGGCATTTCCGTTACATCCTGCACACACAATCAGCACCT